ACCCAACAGGACTGAAGCCATCATTTCCTCTACTGACTGAAAGTATGGGGTCCCCGGTCTGCTTTGAAAGGGAGGAGCTAGGATTTCAAAGCCAGTCCTGTGGCCTGTATCCAACAACGATGCTGACTACTCATGTAGCCAATATCTGTCATTCATGCCACCTGCAAAATAGAGTTGCACAGTAAAAGAATTTGGGATTGAAAATGTCCAGTGAAATAAAGAAGCTTTTTTCACTTTAGGGGCTAGGTTTTTGTTGTTGTCATTTTGGGGATTTTTTGTCTGTTTTGGTTTTGTCTGTATTTTTTAAAAACAGGTAATAGCCTCCAAAGGAAGGAGATGTGCTCACTCAGGGTCACCCATCATTCATTAATCCTTTTTTTAAATTTTTTTAAAATTTTTATTTATTTATGATAGTCAGAGAGAGAGAGAGAGAGAGAGGCAGAGACACAGGCAGAGGGAGAAGCAGGCTCCATGCACCGGGAGCCCGATGTGGGATTCGATCCCGGGTCTCCAGGATCGCACCCTGGGGTGAAGGCAGGCGCCAAACCGCTGCGCCAGCCAGGGATCCCTCATTCATTAATCCTGATCATAGATGTTGCTGTTCTGCTCCTGCTGGTCAACATGACTTTGGAACATCTGCTTTGGATGTGAGTGTGAGTGACTTCTCCCTCCTCTTACCGCCTTTTGTACTATCTTTTTGTATGCAAATATTGTAGCCAAATATAGGAAGGCAGGGCAACTGTGCCTTGTTTGTCACTGTCTTAGTTTGGGTTCCCTCCGAAGCAGACCCTGAGACAAAGATTTATGCAAATAATTTATCTGAGAGGTGATTCCAGGAAACAGTGGTTGGGGAGGGAGACAGGAAAGCCAAAAACCAAAGCTTTACAAAGCAAGTTATGCCATGGGTAACAGGAGCCTAATCCCATGGGTGAACTCTAGGAAATAGGGTATTTCACAAATCTCAAGAGTTATCCCACGTGAGGAGTGAAGAAATTGGGGTATTTATATGCCAATTTCCAGCAGTCATTGGTAGAAGGCCGTTCCGATGTAACATTAATTGTATGGGGAAAAGATGAACCTTAAGTCCTACTTCATTTCCTGTGAACAATTTAATGAAAGAAGGATCAGGTGTCTAGATATAAAAACTGGAACCATAAAATTTCTAGAAGAAAACATAGGAAAATATACGTACAACCTTAGGGTAGGCAAAATTTCTTAGGACACACAAAAAACTTAAAGCATCTGAAAGATTAATATATTGGACTCCATTCAGAATTAAATAATTCTGCTCTTGCAAAACATTATTAAGAAAATGAAAAGGCAAGTCACAGAATGTTTTTAACGCATATATCTGACAAAAGACTTATATCCAGAATATGTAAGGAACTTTTAAAAATGAATAATGGCAAAAGATTTGAACAGACACTTCACAAAATAAGATATAAAAATGGCCAGTAAGCCATTGGAAATGGGGCTCAATATTATTCATCATCAGAGAAATGCAAATTAAAACCACAATGAGACATCACTATAAATCTACTACAGTTGCTAAACTAAAAGGACTTGACAAAGCAAATGTCAGCAAGGCAACGACCTCCCGTATTTTGTTGGTAGGAGTGCAAAATGGTACGAGCAGTCTTGCCACAAACTTGTTTGCAGCTTTTTATATAGCATAAAACACATGTCTCTCTCTAGAGACATATTAGAGATATTAGACATATCCTAATACTGCAATTCATACTTCTGGTATAGATTGAAAATAACTGACAGCACATATCAACAAAAAAGACGGGTACAAAAATGTTCATAACAGCTTTTTAAAAAAACACAGTAAACAACCCAAATGACCATCGACAGGTGAAGAACAAATTATGATAAATCATGCAACAGAATGCTATTCAGCACTGAAAAGGGATGGACTACTGCTACACATAACAACATGGGATCGAGATAAAAAACAAAATTATACCAACCAAAGGAAGCACATATTAAAGGGTACATTCTGTATGGTTTCGTGCATATTAAGTCCAAGAACAGGAAAGCCAAGCTATAATGATAAAAATCAGACCAACATTTGTCCTTGATAGTTGGAGATTGACAGGAACAAGACACTTTTAAGGGGACTTGGGGCTTTTGGAAATTTTTTAAAAAAATATTTTATTTATTTATTCATGAGAGACACACACAGAGAGAGAGAAAGGCAGAGACACAGGCAGAGGGAGAAATAGGCTCCATACAGGGAACCTGACATGAGACTCGATCCTGGGACTCCAGGATCACGCCCTAGGCTGAAGGCGGCGCTAAACTGTTGAGCCACCTGGGCTGCCCTGGAAATGTTTTATATCTTGTTTTGGATGGTGATTATATGAGTGTATACAGGTGTCAAAACTTGCCTAATTGAACATGTATTGTCTGTGCTTTTATTGCATAAAATTGTACCTTGGAAAACATTATAGGTTTATCTTTTAAAAAGAAAATACAACGACCATTCAAAATGTGGAGTAATTTGCTCAGTGCTCTGCATGCTCTCCCTTACTCACTCCACCCTCCTGCTAGACTGTTAAGCTTCAGGAGGGTAGAAGCTGTACCTTGTTTGTTCTCTACTATATCTCCAGCACCGAGTAGAGCATCTGGGACCTTTTGAATGCTCAAGTCACATTTGTTAATATCCTAAGTTTTTAAGAGCCTCTGTGCATTGTGCTCTGGCTTTCTCATATCTCCCTTTGCAGACATGATCTGTTCTTGGCAGACATTGGTTGCCCCAGAAGCTCAAGCACAGGTGCATTGTCTAGGAAGGGAGCTTGCAGGTGGGAACCCAGCAGGGCCCTGGGTGTCCTTGGGCACTGACAGGGTCCCAACTGTGAGCACCATCTGCTCCCGTGAAGGGTGTCTGACAGCATCCACAGCCCTGGACCTGGAAGGTGAGTGCCTCTGAGACTGAATGTCAGGCTCCCATTCCCACACTCCTGCCTATAGGGAGCCCACAGAAAGTCACTTTAACTCTGCAAACAGAAAGGACCAACATGTGTACTGCTTTGTAATTTACCATGTGTTTTCCCTCATATGATCTTATTTTATCCTTCCTATGGCCCTGTAAGATAGGTATTTGCTATCCCTATTTTACAGAGAAGTTAAATGACTTCTCCAAGGTCACACAGCTGGCAAGTGGCAGAACTGGGACTCACACCAAGTTTCGAACTATTTACTACTATATTAAATGCAGTAGTGCTGTGTCATTTAAGGACCTTCGGAAGCAGTTTCTGAAATCTGAAATGGAAAGATAAGTAACATATATCCTCCATATAAATTGCTTTGAAGGGACGCCTGGGTAGCTCAGCGGTTGAGTGTCTGCCTTTGGCTCAGGGCATGATCCTGGAGTCTCAGGATTGAGTCCCACATCCGGCTCCCTGCATGGAGCCTGCTTCTGCCTGTCCCTGTCTCTGTCTCTCTCTTCCTCTGTGTCTCTCATGAATAAATAGAAAATCTTTTTTAAAAAATTGCTTTGAATGCAATTTATTCTAAATGCCCCTGAAAGATTAGCCTGCCTAGGCCACCATTTTCACAGTGTCACTCCCCTACACACATTTTCCATGCTCCTTATCACCTACCAAGTAAACTTAACTCTCCTGAGCTGCTTGTTCGGTGCTCTTTTGCCCAATTCAACTTTGTGACCTCATCTTCCTTGAAACACCTTGCACTCTGGCTGGTCATGTCACCATCTTTGTCTCTGAAACTTGGCTTCTCAACTTGCCCTCCGTATGGAATACCAGTTTTCTTCTATATTCCCCTTGGGTGTGTGTGTGGGGACTTCTTCTCACCCTTCCAGTTCACACTGAATTGCCTCTGCCACTCTTCATCTGAATCCTTGGAGCACATGGTCTGCACTTCTTATGTGGCAGTAGCTATCAGGTATCGTGGGTCTCTCTCGTCGTCTTCCTTATAAGATCCTGAGGTCCCAGGAGGCTAGATGCATGGCTTTTCCATTTTCTGTAACCCCTCTGCTGACTTGGTATAGTTATGTGCTGCTTCACGGAATGAATAAACTGCCACTTCTCTAACCATTGTCTATGCATTTACCACCCTTTGACATGCAATTTTAGAAACTATTTGCATTATAACTCTATTTTTAAAAAAGATTTCATTTATTTATTCTTGAGAGACACAGAGAGAGAGGCAGAGACACAGGCAGAGGGAGAAGCAGGCTCCACACAGGGAGCCCGACGTGGGACCCCATCCTGGGTCTCTGGAGTCACGCCCTGGGTCAAGGGCAGGCGCTCAACCACTGAGCCACCCCGGGATCCCTGCTTTGCTTCTTTAATTCACAAGGTTGTCGGGAGGACAAATGGAAGAACAGACGTACAAGCGCTCGTCGACCATCAATCACCCAGACCTGTCACTTGGTCGCACCTGCTGTTTGACTGACACACACCTTTTCTGGTGGGCAGCATCCCGCCCCAGTGCTCCTCTCTTCTGGCAAGAACTTGACAGTCTGGAGCACGTCCAGGGGGCCACAGAACGAGGAGCAAACCGTCTTACTTCCCGAATGGCGAGCGGAGCTGATGCTGCGTCGTGATGGGTTTGGGGTGGGCAGGGATGTTGTCCTCCCTGTTAGGAAGGGAGACCCAGCGGTCCACGCAGCCTCAGAGAGCCGGCCTAGTCCCGGCGCTGGGAAGTTCCAGGCAGCCAAGTTTTCCGAAACGTTCCCGGTTCGAGCAGCTGGACCGTGGCTCGGGCCCAAACGCCGCAGATGCGACGCCAGCCACCACCCACCATCCACAGGGGTCACGGGCCCACTTCCGGGAGGAGCTGCTACTTCCGCTCTGCCCTCCAGCAGCCGCACGTGCACGTGGCCCAGAGCGACGCCCACAATCCCAAGAGCCCCTGCAGGAGCCCTCGGGTCCGCCCATTGGCTGCCACGTACAGCGAAGGTGGGCCTTGGAACTAGCTCACTCCCTGATTGGTTGGCTGTGCAGATTGGCGGGCACATCCGGAGGCCAGATATGGCGGAGGCGGGAAAAGAGTCGGCAGGCGTGGCGCTCCCCGGGGGAGGCACCGCTCAGTGGCCGCTGCAGCGGTATGGCCGTTTCATGCCATTGGGCACTGGAGAGCCCGCCGCGACTGGTCAGGACGCTGGGACAGCCTCTGCCCCCGCATGGAAGGTGAGGCCTGAGGGCGGGAAAGGCCGTGAGGCGCTCACCCCACCCCCACCCCGGGAGGCAGAGACGGAGGACCGCATCCCCGAACGCCACCCTGCGGAAGGAGCGGACACTGCGGGCCCGCGGGCCCGGCCAGCCCACGGCTAACGGGAAGTACACGTAGAATCTCCTAACCCGGCCCACTTCCTCCTCCCGTTGCACGAGGCCGTCGTCAGTCGGGTGTGAGGCTCTTCGCAGGGTGAGCAAGGGGGTAGGGGGCCCTGCCCTCGTTGAGGTTCCTAGTCCAGTGGAGGACGTGGTATTTATCCAAATAACTTTATCGTCTTTTTTTTTTTTAAGATTTTATTTATTCATTCATGAGACACACAGAGAGAGGCAAAGACACAGGCAGAGGGAGAAGCAGGCTCCATGCAGGGAGCCCGACGGCGGACTCGATCCCGGGACCCCGGGGTCATGCCCTGGGTCAAAGGCAGGCGCTCGACCGCTGAACCACCCGGGCGCATAAAGCGTCCCAACTTGATGATTATTTAAACCAGTTCCACATCCCTTATGTGGGAAAGAGGATTGAATGGTCCATGAGCAAGTGGTCATGCCACCAGCAGTCTAGCACTCACACAGAAGGTGGACTACGTTTGAATTCTTACTTTGCCACTTTGAATCTCTGTGACCTTGGTTAAGTTATTGATCTTCTCTGTACCTTATTTAACTTACCTTAAAATGGAGATATTAATAGTATCCACTTTATAGAATTGTGAGCAATGAATAAGTGAATATATATATGTGTGTGTATATATATATATATATATGTATATGTTACATATATATGTAACTTAAAACAGTCCTGGAAAAATTATTATTATAATTTATATAATAGAATTCTATATAGAATTGTTGTGAGCAATGACTAAGTAAATATATATATATATAACTGGTATAATTTATATAATAGAATTCTTTATAGAATTGTGAGAATGAATAAGTAAATATATATATATATATATATATATATATATAAGTTACATATATATATGTAACTTAAAACAGTCCGGTAAAATTATTATTATAATTTATATAATAGAATTCTTTATAGAATTGTGAGCAATGAATAAGTAAATATATATTATATTATTATATGTTATATTATTTAAGTTATATATAACTTAAAATAGTCCTGGTAAAATTATTATTTTTTTATTTTTATTTTATTTTATTTTAATTTTTTTATTGGAATTCAGTTTGCCAACATATAGTATAACACCCAGTGCTCATTCCGCCAAGTGCCCCCCTCAGGGCCCATCACCTAGTCACCCCAACCCCCTGCCCACCTCCCTTCCCACTACTCCTTGTTCATTTCCCAGAATTAGGAGTCTCTCATGTTTTGTCACCCTCACTGATATTTTCACTCTTTTTCTCTCCTTTCCCTTTATTCCCTTTCACTAATTTTTATATTCCCCAAATGAATGAGACCATATAATGCTTTTCCGATTGACTTATTTCAGTCCTGGTAAAATTATGTAAGTGTTTGCTGTTATTTGTTGTGGTGGTGGTATATATATATATATATATATATATATATATATATATATTTTTTTTTTTTTTTTTTAAGATTTTATTTATTTATTCATGAGAGACACAGAGAGAGGGAGAGGCAGAGACACAGGCAGAGGGAGAAGCAGGCTCCATGCATGGAGCCCGACATGGGACTCAATACCGGGATTTCAGGATCACGCCCTGGACCGAAGTGCTAAACCACTCAGCCGGGCTGCCTGTGGTGGTATATTTCAATGCTAAGAATTGCGAGTCATTCAGTTCCTTTTGGTCTGGTTTGACTATGTGATGTGGGTCCTGAGTTTTACATTATGCCTGTGCATGTGTATGTTAGTACAGTTTAGGCCACAGTGGGTAGAAGAGTAAAAGAACAAATATTTCAGGTAGAGTTTGCAGCATGTGCAAAGGCCCTACACCTGGAAAACCTCAGCACAGATGATGTACACAGAAAAAGAATAAGGCTGGTACTTTAGAAAACAAAGGGGGAGTGATAGCACAAGATAGGATTATCTGGAGAGGCCTGGTGAACATTGGCCTAAAACCACTTGGAAGCTACTAAAGGGTTTTTTAAGCAGGACAATTTTCATATTTGAAAAATCACTCTAGCTGAAGTCTGAAGAAGTTGAAAGGGAATATGAGTAGATTAAGGAAGACCACTTGGAATGCTGTTGTAGCAGGCAAACAATGATAATGACTTAGACTAGGATGACGGTGGTTGGGGAGGACGGCAGTAGGGATAGGGAAGTTGGGCATATTAAAAGTGTATTTTGGAGGCCAACATGGTAGGACTTGGAGGTTGATTGGATATGGATGGTGACAGTAAAGGACTTCTGGGTTTCTTGCTGGAGCAACTGGTAGATGGTTGGGGAATGGAAAACATTGGAGGACGAACAGTGAGAGAAAGATCCAAGGCTTCAGTTTTGGATATATTGAGTTTAAATGTGTTTGTGAAGCATTCAAGTGGAAATGTTGAATAGGTAAGTTGGGTATACTGGTATAGAAGAAAGATGTAGAAGAAAGATACTGGTATAGAAGAAAGAATTGAAAGATGACTGATCTATAATTGTGTTATAAAAAACTAGGGATATTTAAGGAATATTCAGTTTCTGAGACTGTCCAACAGGTTCCTTCATATTCTCTTAACGCCCCTGCAAACCCCATCTCCTAAGGCATCTGCCTTGGGTGCATTGGCTCAGATGCATATGGGTAACTCTCAGATTCTTATCCTGCAACCCAGAGGCCATGGACATTTGGCTATTGTAAGGAGTTCATTGTTATTACAGTTATTTTCCTCCTCCTTTTTGCAAAGCTCTTCATAATTGCTTATGAGGAATGGCACTTTTCAACAGTTTTCAAATGTTTGGCATAAAGCCACAGCTATAGTGACAAGAGATGAAGTTGGTTTTTGCAGTGCTTTTGAAAACTGAACATTTGTACCTTCCTTTGAATCTGTGCTGAAGCATCCTACCTGCTGTGATCAGTTTCAGCCTAGGTCTCTCATTTTTCTTTTTGGAAAAACGAAAGAGAAAACAAGATTTGTTCTATTTTATGTGCACTGTGACTATTGTGCAATAGTAATAATAAAAGATGAGCCATCTAAAGAACTGTACTAAGTCCCATGTGAATTTCTTATTTTAAAAATGTGTGGTACCTGCAGTAAAAAAAAATGTATGTTAGGTAAAGCATAAAAATATATTATTGTGGAGGATAGAGTCATTCTGGTCGTTTTTCCCTAGGGAACTTTCAGGCTGAACCTTGGTTGAAACTACTTTGAGCTTTTTCACTTTTTTCTGAAATTATAGGAAGAACTGATCTGGTATTGTTCTATATAGTTACTTAATTACAGGGATTTCATCTCAATGGCCACATGCTAGTGACCACAAAAATGTTGACTCGAGAAAATATGGATACTTCTAAGACTTGAAATCCTGGTTGAGAGGGGAGGTCAAGTTTGAGACATAAATATTATGCATAGAACATCTAATATGTGTGTATCGATTTGATTTATTTGTTTGAATTGAATTATTTTTCTGAAAAGCAACTCTCTGGAGATAAGCAACAATTTGGAAGCAAACTTTTTGTAATACTGTAAAAAAAAAAGTGAAAAAAAAATCAGTGGTTTAGAACCCTGCTACTCAGACTTCTTGTGCATAGAAATCACACGGAGATTCTTTTTTAATGCAAATTATGACTCAGTAGATCTGGTATGCGGAATAAAATTCTGTAGTTCTAGCAAGTTTCCAGATGATGCTGATGGTTCTAGGACTACACTTGGAGAGACAAGGGTTTAGAAGACCTTGCATGAAAGGGGAGCCATAGAGTAAAATTAATAAAATGAATCTATGGAGTTATGAAGTAAGTCAATCAGATTCATAATGAATATGCAAATATTTTGTTAATAGGGTTAATATTTAAGCCATCTGTCATTTAAGCGGAATGAACAAATGAAATACAAACTTGAACTTGGTTTTAATTCCTTACATCTGTTAGCCCAAGCCTTTCTGAAAAGATTATCATAATAACAGATTGGTCCATTTTGTGTATTTTATATCTGAATATAATTTAGCCTACTAATTTGAGAATAATTTTGAAAGGTGATGCTAATTGTAGGTTGCTTTTAAAGTTTTACCATGTTTTTCAGATTCCAGAATTTCTTAGACATGCCCTAATTGGTGGAACCCGACAATTTCTTATTTTTTCCATTCAAAGGGGAAAAAAACCCTTTAATTTAATTTTTATAAGAGGAACTTAAAATAATTGCCCTACTTAGAAATTAAGAAATAGAATATGAAGTTTGTACTTGAGATGAACTTCTAAATGCAGATTCAACATACTGGATATACGTCCGGTCCTCTCAACAGTGTCCTTTTTTCATTGTATCCCTAGTGCAGGTATGTTAACTAGCATATGATTGCTAGGTACTCAGTGAATGTTTGAATGTGTACTAAGTTTTCTAAACTTTCCTTATGATAATGTGATAATTATAGCACAATAGCTACTATTTATTAGGTGTTTACTCTGGTATATCTCTTACAGAAGTCCTCTGTAACAAATGTTATCATACCGTTTTATAGATAGGTAAACTAAAACTCAGAGAGGTTCAGTGGCTTGCCCCAGAATGCGGGGATAAGTTAAGAATAAAGAATTTGTTCAGAGCCTGGTTTTCGTGCCTCTAAAGGTTGTGCTTCCTGCCACTATGCTGTTTGTCTTCAAAGTGTTGATGTTTCATATAGGGAATAGCAGTTCAATGATGTAGATGAAGGATTTTGAGATTAACATACAGTGAAAAATGATAAAAATGACAGTAGTTTTTGTTTTAAGATTTTTAATTTATTTATTCATGAGAGACACACCGATAGAGAGGCAGAGACACAGGCAGAGGGAGAAGCAGACTCCCCACAAGGAGTCTGATGTGGGACTTGACCCCGTGCCCCTGGATCATGCCCTGAGCCGAA